CATGTAAATATGGCTGATTTTGTTTTGCGCATGTTTTCCCGCTCGACCCGTGGGCTTTGATTTGCACGAGGAATCATGCATGATAATTTTAGCACCAAAAAACCTCTTGTTTTCATTGTCACCCATCGTACTTCATTTGATCATATCAATATGTAACCACTTGACTTCATCACTAAATAAAAACCACTAAAGCACAGTTTAAAAGCCACGAACTACATCCTCTGAGGTGGGCGAGTGTTAGTTTTAAACGTGGGAGAAGGAAGCGCGAACAATCTACGATGCAATTGGAGGAAACCTTCCAACAAAGTGCTTAGTCTTACACTATCCCTTGACCCCACATTTCGTGACTATTCTATTCAGAAATACATACAGTCGCTTATGTTTAAGCAATTTTTAATTGAATGTCGAAAGTAATCCGTGAATGCTTTGTGTTTCCTTCACTTCGCTCTTTGACTGGTCCAGAGAACTTGCGCAACTCTTTTAACCAATCAGATGCAAAACTAAAACCACTCACGACTTAGTACGTGCGTTTTCCTGCGCTTTAGGTAGTTTGATCAGTTTCATGTTGAGTTCTCATTGGTTTTTAAAGGTATTTTCATTTCTTGTGATTGGCTGTTGTGATTACATGTATTTTGGTTTTGGTTTTACGACTCATTCGAAAAGCCCTTCATGTCAAGTGATAGGACCACATTTAATGTGTACACTTAAATGCAGAACATGTTACAAAAAAATTTATCATCATCAAAGTTATTTGCATTGTGTTAACAGTATAAGCTTTGAATAAACGGCCAATGATATTGTGTTGACGGAGATTGTACCCTAAATCTGCCTTGGAAAAAACCGTTTGGTGAAAATGTCTTTTACAAATAAGACAATTTAGACTTATCGACTAAACGTACTTTTGGTTCATACAATGTTGAGACAGTGTTGAGTGTATTTGGTTAACTATACGAAAACAAGGGAACAACAGATTTATATTTCAAAATCTACATACCTATATCTACATACAGCACACTCCAAAGACACCTTCTTGAAAAGTTTAGAATGATAAATTTGCGAAAATTCTGGTATCTATATGCATACCAGAATTGATGTGTTAATTAGTGATGTTTTGAACGTGGAAATGCTAACAAAGGAGAAACAATACTCCTGCCATCTGCATGTTAGCGAAAGTATTGACTACTCCACTTGTTCACTGAAAATTCTACTACAAATCCTTATAAAGAGGTAGTCATACTTCAAATCAGTAATAGTCACCGTACTCATTGCTATATCAGGCATGACGTAATATTTTTTTTCTCCGAGGTTTAGCGCAATGTTCTTTAATATCCATTACCGATTGAAGCTCTGAAAGTGAAAATACTGCACCTTATTGAACAAATGAAGTACCTTGGAATCAGTTCTACTTCAATTTTGAGCTGAGAAGGTTGTTCTTAAGGCAAACACTTCTTCAATGACTTCAAAATACGTTCCTTAAGAATCAGTCTCGTAAAATATCTCTTCGAATTCTTTCATCATCACGGGACTTCACTTCAAATAGATACCCATTTGTCCACGATTGAAAATGGTTAGAAATGATATCAAATGTCCGTGACTCTTTTTCATCGATATATTCTCTCAATCAGTGTTGGATATCGATGCACAATACTCCTGAAATCAGGAAGAAAATAAAATATTTTATTCGACTTATTACCAAAGAGAGCGATCATCATTGAAAAAATCTTATGGCAGCTTATCTAGAAATAATAAATGGACATTGGGAAGCTTCATTTTAAGTAGGCCGATCGTCGTTATTTTGACTCACTTCGTAAATGTTTACTGAACATCACCGAAGCAATGAAATCTAGAAACTTCAGTTTCTTGTTTCCCTGAAATGCAACGGAAGCTTTTTCACTCTTCCCGCAAGATTCCAGCAACAATTCTCGTAACTGTCTGCTATTTTCTTTATCAAGCTTTCAGCTCTGACAATTTTTTGTTGAATCAAACAAGTTCCTTCATTAATATTCTTCAAATTATTGACCGAAAGGTTATTTTCGATACTGTTTTTGCGCCAACAACCTACACAAAGGAATTAAGTGCTCATTTAGCAAATACTGTCGAGCCGTTTCAATCATCGTGGACCAATGGAAAACAATTTGCATATGTAAGTACAGTGCAAATGAAGTTTCGTCATACACGACAATTATCTCTTT